GGAGAAGAGACTGACCCCCACCTGACTGCAGCCTCATTTCAGGGAGTTGTAAAGAGTGATAAAGTCCCCCTCTGAGCCTCTTTTTCCTCTAGGCTAAACAACTATAGCTCCCTCAGCTGGTTCTCCTAAGACTTTCATTATAAACCCTTCCCCAGCTCTGTTGCCCTGCTCTGCACATACTCCAACACCTCAATGAATGTCCTTCTCAAAGTGAGAGGCCCAAAACTGAACATAGAATTTGAGGTGTGACTTCAGCAGTGCCAGGTACATGGGGACAATCACTGCCCTGCTCCTGTTGCTCTCACTGTTGCTGATATAGGCCAGGATGCCATTTGCCTTCTTTGCCACCTAGGCACAGCTGTCTCGTGTTCAGCTGCTGTTGACCAGTGCCTCCAGATCCTTTTCTGCTGGACAGCTTTCCAGCCACTCTGACCCCAGCATTTGGTGCTGGGCGAGGTTGTTGTGACCCAAGTGCAGCACATGGTGCTTCATTTTGTTGAGTCTTATACAATTGGCCTCAGGCCATGGATCCATCCAATACAGATCCCTCTGTAGAGCCTCCTTACCCTTCAGCAGATCAACATTCCCACACAGCTTGGTGTTGTCTGCAAACTGGATGTGCACTCAATCCCCTCATCCAGATCATTGATGGTCTAACTATCTTCCACTACTTGGGGCTGAAACATCCAGCTGTAGCTTTTCTGCTGAGAGGAGACATAATGTAAGAGATGAAAGAGGTGAGAGCCATAGCCAATGTGCATATAAAAAACCAGGACACTAAGAATGGTCCATGGTGGCTCTTGACAAGTGATATGGCTGTACTCCAGGGATGAGCAACACACCGTGGTTACAGGGTTGAGAAGCTCATGTAGGAGAGGAAGACTGACATCACAGAATAACATTTTTAAAAAAAGTAATCCTAGATTACGAGTAACATGGTGCAGGATTTCAAGAGTTTTCAGCTGCTGTTCAAAATTAATATTCAACCCTACCTTCTGTTCTTCGTTTCCTACAGCAAAATGTCCTTCCAAGCAAAACACAAATCAAGAACTATGCACACCTGGCAAGCGTTGGCCATCTACATGGTCTTAGCTGCAAACCTCTCCGAACAGCAAGCACTGAAGCAGGCTTGTCCTTCATGCGGTGCCAGTCAGCTTTGCAACTGCTCCTCCATGGGCTTGGCCTTCATTCCCCCTGGGCTCACGGCCAAAATCACAGTGTTAAACCTGGCCCACAACAGGATAAAGCGCATCCAATCCCAGGACCTGCAGCAGGCTGTGAACCTGAGAGCCCTGCTGCTGCAGTCCAACGAAATCAGCTCCATAGATGAGGACTCCTTCCAGTCCCTGGCAAAACTGGAGCTCTTGGACTTATCAAATAACAGCTTGGCTCACTTGTCCCCTATGTGGTTTGGGCACCTTTTTTCACTCCAGCACCTCTACCTTCAAGGCAATTCCTACAGAGACCTGGGACAGAGCTCCCCCTTTTCTAGCCTGAGGAACCTGAGTTCTCTCCACCTGGGCAGCCCGCAGCTCTCCGTGATAAGGCAAGGGAACTTTGAGGGCATTGAGTTTCTGCACAGGTTGTGGATTGATGGCAGCAATCTCAGTCAGTACGAGGAGGGAAGTTTGAAATCAATTAAGGAGATAAATCACATGATCATAAACCTAAAAGATAGTAATATATTCTCAGAAATTGTTAGGGACCTTCTGCACTCTGTCACTTGGCTGGAAGTGACAGAAATCAAATTACCAGTTGAAAAAAAAAGCTTGGTGCAGAATTCTACATATCCTTTTAGGTTACAAAAACTTACGGTTAAGGAAGCTTTCTTCACAGATCAAACGATTAGCCAAGCAATAGTGTTACTGAAGGAAATCACCTCTTTAAGACAGTTAGAGGCAATCAATTGTGTGCTTGAGGGGAAAGGAATATGGAACACTGACGAAATTGCAAAGAGTGGGGAAAATTTTGTTGAAACAGTAACAATAATAAAGATAATGATTCAGAATTTTCATTTGTTTTTTGACCTGGAAGGCATGGAGTCACAAATAAACAATCTAAAAAGACTCACTATTGCAAGCTCTAATGTCTTCATGGTGCCATGCAAACTTGCAAGACATTTTTCATCACTTCTGTATCTGGACTTTCATGATAATTTGCTTGTAAATAAGCGTTTAAATGAGACAATCTGTAGAGGTTCCTGGCCTTCATTGCAAACTTTAAATCTAAGTCAGAACTCTCTAAAATCTCTGGAAGAGACTGCAAAGTATACATCTCGTCTACCCAATTTGAATAATCTTGATATTAGCCAAAATAATTTTGGTGAGATTCCAGATGCGTGTAAATGGCCAGAAAACCTGAAATATTTAAATCTGTCCAGCACTCAAATTCCTAAAGTAACAAGCTGCATTCCTGAAACGCTGGAAGTTTTGGATGTTAGTGGAAACAACCTGAAGGAGTTTGGACTGCAGCTCCCACTTCTGAAAGAGCTGTACCTCACAAGAAACCAGCTGAAGGCCCTGCCGGGTGCTGCACCCATTCCAAATTTAGTGGCCTTGTCCGTCAGAAGAAACAAGCTGAACAGTTTCTCCAAGGAGGAGTTTGAGTCGTTCAGGAGAATGGAGCTGCTGGATGCCAGTGACAACAACTTCATCTGCTCCTGCGAGTTCCTCTCCTTTGTCCAGCACGAAGCCGGGATAGGCCAGGTGCTGGTGGGGTGGCCGGACAAGTACGTGTGTGACTCTCCGCTGGCGGTGAGAGGGGCGCAGGTTGGCGCTCTGCACCTGTCCCTGATGGAGTGCCACAGGTCCCTGGTGGTGTCGTTGATCTGCGTGCTGGTGTTCCTGGTGATCCTGCTGCTGGTGGCCGTCGGCTACAAGTACCACGTGGTCTGGTACCTGCGGATGATGTGGGCATGGCTGCAAGCCAAGCGGAAGCCCAAGCGCGCCCCGCCAAAGGACGTCTGCTACGACGCTTTTGTCTCCTACAGCGAGAACGACTCCGACTGGGTGGAGAACACCATGGTGCGGGAGCTGGAGCAGGCCTGCCCTCCCTTCCGGCTCTGCCTGCACAAGCGGGACTTTGTGCCTGGGAAGTGGATTGTGGACAACATCATCGACTCCATTGAGAAGAGCCACAAAACGCTCTTTGTGCTGTCCGAGCACTTTGTGCAGAGCGAGTGGTGCAAATACGAGCTGGACTTCTCACATTTCCGCCTCTTTGATGAGAACAACGACGCGGCGATTCTTGTCCTCCTGGAGCCCATCCAGAGCAAAGCGATTCCCAAGAGATTCTGCAAGCTGCGGAAGATCATGAACACAAAGACTTACCTGGAGTGGCCTGCTGGGGAAGAGCAGCAGCAGATCTTTTGGGAAAACCTGAAAGGAGCCTTGAAGTCATAGAAGTCAACAGCCCCCATTTCTACATATTTCCACAAAAGGCCGTATTACACTGTTTCTTGCTGCCTGGAATATTTTCTTTCTTATTTTTCTTTGTAACTGCAACTAGCTTTGTTGTGTATAGGGATAATTGCGATTTTACCAACTGGAAAAGACCCGTTTTAGGCTTTCCAGTGTTTTGATACTCTGGTCTTTAAAAGCCCCTGCCAATAACTATGATATTTGGAAACCGTGTTGGACTTTAAATACATTTTACTGAGGGTGAGGTATTTCTGTACTTTTTACTCTTGTTACTATTATCCCAACTAGTTTCTAACAATGCCGTTGTAATTTGCAAATAAAATTAAAAGCCATGGGCTTCAATCAGTATTTCCCTGTGTCCATTTCTTCCTGGGAATGCTTGTTTGTGTCTTCATGATCTCCACCATTTCCTTTCTACCCACCCACAGAAATAGGTGAAGCCTTCTATTTTTGGGTGTGAGACTGTGTTTCTAATGCATGGACTAGATGGTGTTGTAGACTGGCTCAGTTCTTGGTTTTGTTCTTCTACTTTGCAGAGCATATTTATGTAATCACTGGGCCATGCACCTCTTACAGCTCTACTTATCTTCCTTTGTAGTCAGTGAAGGAAATCACAGGGATAAGAGGCAGTTCGTCTCTCTGCTTCAGTGTGAGGTATCTCCCAGAATTACATATTGCTCTTCACTGATTGCAAAGGGAGTCTAAACAAGCAGGTAGATGTTTATATTAAGGTAGTTAGTACCATGCTGAGTGCTTGGATTTCTTGGGTTTTAGAGGTTCTTATGGGAACATGAAATTGTCTCTGAGGGGATTAAGTTGTGTGTTTTCTCTAACTCAACATTTTCATGTTCCCCTTTGCTTGTTTTGCTGGAGTTTAAGTACAGAAGAGTAGATCTTGATTAAGTTTTAACCATGAAATTATTTTATAGTGAAATACTAAAACCTTGGCAGATGGGCTATTTGAAAATAGCAAAATTTCCATACCTTGTCTGTTGCTATATTTATACATCTTCATCTTCTTGTACATATATATATATATATATGTGTGTGTGTATATGGACTTTTGTAAATATGTATCTATGCACACTCCTGTGTATGTGTGTGTTTACATGTGTCTATATGAGATAATTTCTGTAGGTGCAGCCTGCAAACACCACTTTCAGTTCTGTTTTCTTATAACAATGTTAGCTCCAGGGCTAGTCCAAAGTCTGCTACAAAGCAGTTTTTCTGTTCACTCTCTTGGATAAATATAGCTCATGGTTTAATCAAGGCTGAACTCCAGGTAGGTGAGGAGTGAATCATCTGAGAACAAAAACTGAGCGCTGATAAAACAAATTAGGAGAAATGTGTGCCTAGAGGTAAGAGAAGAAATAAATTTTGCCAGTCATTACAAAGAGAGGGTCACAGAGAGATGAAGGAGAAGCCTTAGTTTTCACACAGTACATTCTTACCCTAGACCCAGACTTTTGTGTGTTGGCACATTTAAAATTACTGATAGCATTACTGTTCTTATGCCAATCAGATCACCCAGGTGGGAATTCCCCTACTTATATTGTCAAGGTTGAGAGGCTAAGAGGAAACAAAACAGCAGCGTGAGAGGAAGCTGGGCAAAGAATGATCAGCAAGAGAGAGACGAAACACAGCATAGGCTAACTGGCATGCAAGCACTGAAGCTGCAGGTGGCATCTCTGGGAATCTTTTCGGCGCAGACGTGAGTTTTCAGGTAGGTGAATGTTGGAGATGCAGGAAAAGGCAGTGGAGCTGCAATGCCAGAGCAAGAAGCAAATAGGGGGCCCTGAGAAGAGGCAACCTAATCTTTGCCATCAGTCCTCCTCTGCATGGGGGATTTGGGGTGCTCAAGGCTGCTGAGCAGGAGTGTGGGGTGGGGAGGGATTTCTGGCTGCCAGCAGAGGTAGAGCAGGAAGGTGCAATCACAGGCATCTGGCAGGGATGCATGACAGGCAAGCAGCAAAGGAAAGTTCTCCTGGAGAGCTGTGATATGCTGATGGGACCAATGTCCTCTGAGAAATGGGAGAGAGGAAAACCGCAAATGAAAAAGAGACAAAGACTGTGCCATTTCTGCTCAGTCTCCTCGTGGGAGGGTGCCTTGCATGTACTTTATCCTATTTGAATGTCATCTCACCTGGGTGTTGATGGCGACTGCCATGGGAAGGCTGGGAGTGAAGGTGGGGTGCCTTGGTTTCAGGAATTTGACCAGGAAAGAGCTCACTGAACAATGGCCTTGGGACATCAGCTGCGTCCTCACCTAACTCTGACCTGCTGCACATCCTCTGTGTCAGAAACAAGCAGAGGCATGGCCATGTGGATGTGTGGCTGTGCATACATGCTGTTAGAGCAGTGCTGGAGGTGAGAACTAGGACATGGGCAGCCCACACACTGCCGGGTGCAGAGCAGCAGCTTTCCCCAGTCTGCTTGTGGTTTGACCTTTTCACCAAACAGTGGTTCTCCCTCTGCAGGCTCCACAGCACTGCTCAGATTTACCAGCCCATATTTGGGTTGGTGCTCCCCAAGCTAGAATCAATTTGCACACTACTGGAATGCTTTATTTTAGCCCTTACATTAACCTTCCCCATTTGTGAGCATTTATAGAACCTCATTCTGTTGTCAGTCATGGTTTTGTTTGATAATACGTGCATGTTTCCTCAAATACTTCTACTCATGTGGGCCAGGGAAAATAATCTTGAACGTGCCTGATGTCTTGGACCCTTTTTCCACAACTCAGAAATAGTTTGCATATCTGGTTCATCACAGCACCTTATGGTATAAGGGCATCTGTGCAAATGTATGTATTTTTAGTTGCATTTCAGTTTAATTTTCTTACTGTGTCTTTTTAGTCCCCAGTACAACAGGGAGAAGAGATTTCTTGATAAGACAAAGATATCATGGACTGGGGCAATATTTCAGAGTGGGTGTGGAGAGGCCTGAAATGACCTTGTAAGGGTCTCAGGCAGGATCATTAGACAGGAACTGGAAGGGGAAGAGAATGGCTGAAAGTGAGTGAGGGTGGAAATGGGATTCCTCTGAGTGTTCAGATTACAGATGAACAAAAAACCTGGAAAGTAAGCATTCTGAATCACCAAATGCAGTTCAGTCCTGCAGTCCCTGAATGGTTTCAGGTTGGTGAGGTGGAGAACCATTAGGAATTTCCTGTGCAACACCTGCCCAGTTCCCTTGTGTGCTGCCAATTTTCCACCTATGAATAACCTGCCTATAGACAGCTTTTGATTGATCAGGTTGCCTGTTTGTTTCATCTTCTAAAAGTAAGTATTTTGATGACAAATTTAAAAATACCACCTAAATCTGTTGCTAGTGAAACTAGCAACACTACTCCTAGATTTACTCCTTTAGCCTACAGCACTGCATTATCCAGTTATTCTTGGGATACTAAAAAGCCCTGCAAAAGAGCCTTATCTGGACAGCAGATGAGTCAAACTACAGACAACAATTTTTTGTTTGGGATTCATGTGGACAAATATCTGAGTATCTGAACTGTGATACTCCATTTTAAGGCAATAGGATCATTTCTCTTGGAATCATCACATCTTACACTGAGCATCCAATACACACAATATTAATTGCTCCTAAAAGATGTTCTTTCTCTCCATTGGCTTTGGAGGACATGGTGGATGACCAGTTCAGCTGTGGGTATCTACAGACAGGGAAGAGAACCTTATCCTTCAAGATCCATGGTCTACATCAGAGACAAACAGAGATAAAAGGAAGGTTACACAAGGGATCAAAATGTTTCTAGTCCTGCAGGTGGGAAGAGATGGAATGACTGAAAAAATTATCCATAATTTTTTCTTCCCTCCCCATATGCCCAAACCATCTCAGTCAATTCTGCCCCTTTTGGATAATCTTAAGCAGTTATGACTAAAAATAATGCAACTGGAAATGTGGGATTTTTCTGTATCAACTTGTATACCTGGGTCAACTATTGTAAAACAAATCAGAATATGGATTCAGAGTAGAGTAGGTCTTCTGCACAGAGTCTCAGGGGGATGACTGAGGGAGAAAGCAGTTCTCAAGGAGCCAGTCTAACCTGATTTACCTGATAGAGAGCCCACAATGATTTTGTGAACTCATTGATTGACCCCTTTGGGCATTGTTCACTCTTTCCACCCTCAGCAAGATACCTACTGAGGTACTTGGGTTTTGTGGCACGTTGGGGAAAACTACATTTTAAAAAAGCTCTTTGATCCTTGTCAAGAAAGGTTATATTTCAATATACAGTAAAGGTTTTAAAGGGAAAAGACCTCTCTTAGGCTTCAAAAATTGTTCTTCCAGCTCCTCAGAAGGACAGAGGAACTGAAGATATACTACTGGAAGTAAAGACAAGCTGGATATTGCAGGAAGCTTTTAACCCTGTTCACAGGACATTTACAGTCGGAGTAGGAAAGGCAGATAAAAAGAAGAACGGACTGAAACAAATGCATTCATTTTTGCCCTATTTTCAGAATAGAGATTAGACATATGCTTGAAGTAAGTATTACACTTGAATGTTACTATTTAGTGTGAGGTGCTGACCCTTCTTGATGTAACCAGGACTTGAAACACTTAGAGGAGACTCCCTGTGGTAAAAAATGAATATGCAAAATAATATTCAGATTCAGAAGAAGGAGACCTGAGGCGAGATTGAAGTATGAAGGCTACTTACTAAACAGGAGAATCAGAGTAATAACTAATCTGTTTCAACTCTGAACTGTGTTAAAACAAAATATTTTAACAGTGCCTTCAACAAGACAGAACAGTAAAAATAATATTTTAGATTTATTCAAAATGTACCTTCTTCAAAACAAGATATGCATCTTATATTTGCTCTGACTTTCATATTTCATGTTTCATATTTTAGGCAATATAATGACTACGCCCACCTGGCAAGCGTTGGCCATCTACATGGTCTTAGCTGCAAACCTCTCCGAACAGCAAGCACTGAAGCAGGCTTGTCCTTCATGCGGTGCCAGTCAGCTTTGCAACTGCTCCTCCATGGGCTTGGCCTTCATTCCCCCTGGGCTCACGGCCAAAATCACAGTGTTAAACCTGGCCCACAACAGGATAAAGCGCATCCAATCCCAGGACCTGCAGCAGGCTGTGAACCTGAGAGCCCTGCTGCTGCAGTCCAACGAAATCAGCTCCATAGATGAGGACTCCTTCCAGTCCCTGGCAAAACTGGAGCTCTTGGACTTATCAAATAACAGCTTGGCTCACTTGTCCCCTATGTGGTTTGGGCACCTTTTTTCACTCCAGCACCTCTACCTTCAAGGCAATTCCTACAGAGACCTGGGACAGAGCTCCCCCTTTTCTAGCCTGAGGAACCTGAGTTCTCTCCACCTGGGCAGCCCGCAGCTCTCCGTGATAAGGCAAGGGAACTTTGAGGGCATTGAGTTTCTGCACAGGTTGTGGATTGATGGCAGCAATCTCAGTCAGTACGAGGAGGGAAGTTTGAAATCAATTAAGGAGATAAATCACATGATCATAGGCATAAGAAATATTACTGTGTTCTCAGAAATTGTTAGGGACCTTCTGCACTCTGTCACTTGGCTGGAAGTGAGAAGAATAGCATTTGGTATCACTGCAGAAATGCAAGCACTGAGAGTCATGTCTTCATCTTTTGTAAAGAAGCTTTCTTTTAGACAGATCTTACTAACAGATGCTACTGTGCCTGAGATTGCCAGCATTTTAGAAGACATGCCAAAATTAGCAGAGCTGGAGCTGGTAGACAGTAGACTCTTGGGAACCGGACAATGGAAAATGCAAATTCAAGTAAAGCAATCACAGACACTTAAAGTTATCACAATAGAGAAATTATCTATAGAAGAATTTTACTTGTTTACAGATCTTCAGCCAGTGGAAGGTCTACTATCTCTTTTTACAAGAATCACAGTTTGGGAAACCAAGGTTTTTTTGGTACCATGCAGAATTTCCCAACAGCTTCTGTCATTAGAATATCTTGACCTTAGTGCAAATTTGCTTGGAGACCAGAGTTTAGAACATTCAGCCTGTCAGGGTGGTTGGCCATCCCTACAAACTCTAAATTTAAGTCAGAATTCACTGAGTGACTTAGAAATCACAAGTAAAAGTTTGTCTCATCTAGGAAACCTAATTGTTTTAGACATTAGCCAAAATAATTTTGGTGAGATTCCAGATGCGTGTAAATGGCCAGAAAACCTGAAATATTTAAATCTGTCCAGCACTCAAATTCCTAAAGTAACAAGCTGCATTCCTGAAACGCTGGAAGTTTTGGATGTTAGTGGAAACAACCTGAAGGAGTTTGGACTGCAGCTCCCACTTCTGAAAGAGCTGTACCTCACAAGAAACCAGCTGAAGGCCCTGCCAGGTGCTGCACCCATTCCAAATTTAGTGGCCTTGTCCGTCAGAAGAAACAAGCTGAACAGTTTCTCCAAGGAGGAGTTTGAGTCGTTCAGGAGAATGGAGCTGCTGGATGCCAGTGACAACAACTTCATCTGCTCCTGCGAGTTCCTCTCCTTTGTCCAGCACGAAGCCGGGATAGGCCAGGTGCTGGTGGGGTGGCCGGACAAGTACGTGTGTGACTCTCCGCTGGCGGTGAGAGGGGCGCAGGTTGGCGCTCTGCACCTGTCCCTGATGGAGTGCCACAGGTCCCTGGTGGTGTCGTTGATCTGCGTGCTGGTGTTCCTGGTGATCCTGCTGCTGGTGGCCGTCGGCTACAAGTACCACGTGGTCTGGTACCTGCGGATGATGTGGGCATGGCTGCAAGCCAAGCGGAAGCCCAAGCGCGCCCCGCCAAAGGACGTCTGCTACGACGCTTTTGTCTCCTACAGCGAGAACGACTCCGACTGGGTGGAGAACACCATGGTGCGGGAGCTGGAGCAGGCCTGCCCTCCCTTCCGGCTCTGCCTGCACAAGCGGGACTTTGTGCCTGGGAAGTGGATTGTGGACAACATCATCGACTCCATTGAGAAGAGCCACAAAACGCTCTTTGTGCTGTCCGAGCACTTTGTGCAGAGCGAGTGGTGCAAATACGAGCTGGACTTCTCACATTTCCGCCTCTTTGATGAGAACAACGACGCGGCGATTCTTGTCCTCCTGGAGCCCATCCAGAGCAAAGCGATTCCCAAGAGATTCTGCAAGCTGCGGAAGATCATGAACACAAAGACTTACCTGGAGTGGCCTCTCGAAGAGGACCAGCAGCAGATCTTTTGGTTTAATTTGAAAATTGCTCTAAGATCATAGACAGGGAAATTAAGGAACAAAAATGTAGTGAATCTAGTCTGGATTTGTTTCAGTTGCCTGGTTGTCTCATTACTTATTTTCATCTCACGTACAGAGAGCTGGGCTATTGCAAATTGTAACAGTTGCTATGAGATAATTACTTTTTGTAGCCATTGTTCTGAATAGTTGTACAGGTTTGGGCTGGAATACAGTCAATTTTGTTCAGAGCTCCTTCTGTGGTGCTGTGGTTTGTATTTGTGGCCAAAAGAGTGTCCATAACACAGGGGCTCTTTAGTTATTGCTCAACTGTGCTTGCACAGCATCAAGGTTTCCAAAAGCACAAGCATTTTCCATTTCTCATGCCATCCTGCCTGTGAGCAGGCAAGGGTTGTATCATAATTTGGGAGGGGACACATCTAGGACAGCTGATCCCAGCTGACCGAAAGGGTGTCCTACACATAATGTCATGGCCCATGACAACATAATCAGCACTAAAAGTTGTGTGAAAGAAAGAGAGGATGTTTGGAGTTAACATATTTGCCTTCCCAGGTAAAAGTTCTGTGTCATGGAGTTCTGCTTTCATGGCAAAGGCTAAACATTTTCCTGTTGATGCAAATTAATTCCTTCTGGTTTGCTTGTGAGCACAGTTTTTACTTTACCTGTTGAACTGCCTTAATGTGAACTCCCAAGTTTTCTCACTTTTACCCTTCAGATTTTCTCCCTGGTTTCACTGAGGGGAGAGAGAGAGTGGATTTGTGGTGCTGAGCTGCCTTCTGAGTTTAAACAGCAATAGTTATCTGCACATGTTAATCAGCAATACCAGCAAAAGCTGTGTCATTTAAATATTTAATGATGAAAAGTCGAATAGATACACAGCTATGTAGTTTATATGTCCTCATCTTTGCAAAGGTTTCAGGACAGAACCTGCCTAGCCAAGGGTTTTTCTGCATTCGTTGTATAAACTACTTCTTATCAAATGCTATAAAAGTCAGTTTCTGCAGCAAAGAATTTTGTCCTAGCGCTCCTAGTCAATGGATCTAAGGACTGATTCTCTGTATTTCATTGTTACAGAAAGTTTAATTCCCAGATCTCCTGAAAATCATGTCTTCAAGTCTTAATGTAGAAATATGCTTTCTCACTGCATTTCTGTCTGTTGTAGCTTTTAGGTTCTATAATTTCCTTTATGAAAGACATCTATGGAGGATGATTTATGTCTAATTTTGTTGTACTGTATGTGGCAATAGATGCTCCAGAGTAGGGTTCAAATACCCTTCTGACTAGCACAAGCGGAGTTTAAGCTGCTCTCAGCTACAGTGTGGGAAACACAAATATATTGTCCTTGAATCCAACACTATGTTCATCCCCTTGTTTAGCAACCTTAACATAGTCATGAAAAGAACATTTCCTACCTTTTACTCTCTCTGTAAATGTAGTCCACAAAACCAGAGTGGGTGGAGAACATCCCACATAGGATATTGTGTTTGCTGTGAGGTGGGGTTGTGTTTTCCTGAGAAGGTTACTGGGACAAGGGTCCTAATTGGTGGAAAAATTGAACAAATGGAAGACTGTCGCCAGATTCATCCTTCAGAGCTGATGTAAAAAGAAAGGGATGTCTTTGTGATATTCTCCTTGCAGCCACGTAAAATTTTGGGTGAACTCTAATAGCTTGATTCTGGTAGGCCAGAAGGACCATGAACTTCTGGATCAGTTCAGGACTTAGGCACAGCCATTTCCAGGCACATACTGAAGTATGTAGTAAGTAGGTCTTAAAAACTTTCAAATGGAATCACCTACAACATTTGGCTGTACCTGTGATGAGACCATGTCCAAATTAGTGGTTTTATTACTGTTTTGATCTTGGGCATCTAATGTGGTACAAAAACCCTGTTCAAACACCTCACTGTAACTGAGTTGATTGCATTGGAAGTTTCCTCTCACTGCTGGTTACTTGTTGTGTTACTCCTTTTAGCCACTCCTCTGCACAGCCAAAGTGTCAGTGAGAGCAAGCTATCCCTGTTTTTTGCTAGTCACTGAGAGAGCTGAGGATATACCTGCTTCCACAGGTGTACACCCACAAGCAGGCAACTTTGACAGCACATTGAAAATTAACAGTTTATTTATATGCATTTTTGCATTTATTAATGCAGGCATAACACATAGTACGGATTATTAACTTTGTTACTTTATCTAAGCTAAAAAAGCCACCTTCTTTCTATTTATTCAAGATTTGCTCTTTCTTTCATTTACTTTGCTTTTTTCTTAAGCACATCATTTCCCATTTTTAGCATCTAGACCTTATTTTCACCTATAGATGGCTTCGTACAATATCTGCTTTATTCTTATATATATTATATATATATTAGCATAATAATTTGTATTATATTATATTATATTATAGTGTAGTGTATCTTTGATTTCTAATAGCAATGTAGAGATTCTTAAAATACTGATCATGTTTAATCTGAATTCAGAAGCTACTTCTGCTATGTATTTTTTCATTCTAGGAAATCTATTTTTTTTTCTAGCATGAACTTCCCATTAAAACCATCAATTTATTTTAATTCTTACTTTGAGAAAATATAATATGTTTTCATAGCAAGCTGCATAGCCTCACTGTACTGCAAAAAGAGGCAAAAGTGTTTCTAGCATACCACAATTCCACCCATTGCTACTTTTTCTAGTCTTGTAAAATTAAGTACAGAATATGCATATTATTGTAGAGAGGTAAATGTCCAACACTTTGAATTCTCGCCAATAATCTGCACCCTATTCTAGAACCAGTGAGTAAGTAATGCCTTGAAGGATGCCTGTAACAATTGACTGCCAAACCACCAGATAGCAGAGACAGTCCAGAAGTTGTCATAAAATATTTGGGTGTTCCCATGCAATCTGTTCATAAGGAAACTGGAGAGAATATCTGCAACAATAGGTAAATCTTTTATTTATTGTATGTATTGTATAAAATCTTGTATTTTTCTTAGTCAGAATAAAAGATACAGTATTGGGTTAAATTTTTGAAATAACATTTTTTTTTTAGTGCTTATAATTTACTTTCTTAATGCCCTTAATTTACTTTCTTTCTTTCTTCTTTTTTTTTTTCTTCTTTTTTTTTTTTTTTTT